GTTAGTCGATGTCATATCGAGGCATAAATAGTTTGATATTAATTTTTAAACTTTTTTGTCCCCCTGCATGTGGCCGCACTCCTAGATTTGGCCTAATGATGCTAAAACTCTGAGACAAATCGTAATTTGGCGAGAATCCTTGTGCTTTTTTCCATACCTTATGCAAATAGGACCAAAGTGCTTAGGTGGTTCGTTTTAGGTTTTAAGTTAATTAGCTTAAAATGAGATGATTCTACATGCGGAACAGTTATGTTAGCCTCTTAAGATGCATACTTTAATGCCCCTCATGCATGTTTCATCACTTGAAGGCCTCACTAATCGTCATTTATTTTTCGCATGTTGAAGTGGTAGGTTATTCATCATTTATATTTCATACGAATAGGATTTTGGTTTCGAAATCCAATATTAGTGAATTGAGATATACTGATACATCGAACGAAACTTTACCAAGTTTCCATGACTTATGAATAGTTTAAAGAATCTCCAAAATATGTGGTTCTTATTGGCCTGATTGGCCTCATCGTCGTTTCTAGTAAAACAGATTACCGCGCCGATGTTTACTTCTTGCATGATTTTTGCTTCCGGTTTGCGGGATACTCGAAATTTTGATTAATTATACATTTTAGATACAAGCCGACCACCGAAGCCGAATGAAGTGGATGGCCGTGATTATCACTTTGTTTCAAAAGAACAAATGCAGGAAGACGTACGCAACAATCAGTTCATAGAAGCTGGCCAATTCCAGGACAATCTCTATGGCACAAGTATTAACTCTGTTCGTGAAGTTGCCGAAATGGTATGTTTTGATACAGCTTTAAAAAAAAAAAGCAAAAGCAAGGAAGTTTTGCGGGAAAAGTGCTCTCATCGGGTCGTTTTGTTTGAATTTTCTCATGGAAATAGAGGAAATTTCAGTACTTTTTTAGCAGTTTTATTACCAAAGGGGTTGAGATCCTCGTTAGAGATTTGGTGTCAGATCCATTGTTGTTAATTTGGGGGAATCAGCGCAAGTTAACTCATCCAAACGCAAAAAATTATGTTTTTGCAGGGTCGGCACTGCATCCTTGATGTGAGCGGAAATGCGATCCGTCGATTACAGTCCATTGCGAATATATATCCAATAGCGAT